GAGCGTGGTGTCTTGTAAAAATCACCTCTCTCATTCCACCTCGAACATTTCCAATTCTGACGGTTTAGGACAAGCTCAGGAACCTAAACTTTCAAGAAGGTACCTCCCACCAAGTAAGTCAAAGACCATACTTTTTAAATGCAGGCTAAGCAAACAAATCAGTAGTTAGGAAGAAAAAATACATAATCATCCAATCAATTCCAGAAAACCAATATTCTTGTAGTCTTCTCAACACTGGTGGGGGTAGGGGGCAGATTTTGGTCCTCTAGATATATCTGGCAAAGTCCAGCAATGATTTTTGATTGTCACAACTGAAGGGGTGCCACTGGCATCCCATGGATAGCTGGGAACACCCTATAACATAAAGGACAACATCCCTTTACAAGCTCTGCTAAAGAGTGCTTAAATAAACAGGCTCAGCATCGTGGTGTAGTTGGTGGCAAACTGAACTGCAGTGCTGGAAGTCACACGGCCGACCACTGTTCAGAGAGCAGGTTGGCTTGAAAAACATGCTGAGTGCATACGTGGGTGCTGGGGACCTTGAGGAGCTAGAGGGTGGGGCAAGGGGACCATGGCATGTTGAGATCCTGTGGAAGGTGCTTCTCTCTTTCTCTCTCTCATAAGGACACATATATTCTCTATCATGAATAAACTTTTTTAATAAAGGAATCTCTGGGGTTAGCAGGTGGCATGGAGGATAAGGTGCTGGATCTCACATGGCCAACTGCGTGGTTCTAGTCCTGGACCCAGTGGCTTGAAAATCAAGCTGGGCATGTGTGTGTGCCTGCCCAAAATGCTGAGACGATGGAGGAAAGGGGATTGCAGCATGGCCATCCCCTCTGGGCTGGTGGGGGGGGGGAGTGATATCTTACTCTCTCCTCCACCTACCGCAAGAACATGCACCCTACACCAAAAACAAAAAAACAAAAACAAAAACAAACAAACAAAAACTCCAACAAAGATTAGAAAAGCAGCTGAGATAGATTCTAGGAGGTCAGGAATGTGAGAAATGAAAATATATATATATAACCCTCTAACCCTAACTAACCTCAAGAAGGGTGTATCCAGAAATGCTCCTTGGTGCTGATCAGAAATAATATAGGGAAGGGAACATGGGGAAGCAAGAGTGCATCTAAGAATTTTTCTTGGGGCCACCAGATGGCATGGTGGTTAAGGTGCTGGCCTCCCACATGGCTGACTGTGGTTTGAATCCCAGACTCGCCAGCTTGAAAATCACACAGATGTGTGTACATGCACATCCAAAAGCCTGAGAGGAGAATGTAAGAGAAGGTATTGTGATATGGCCATCCTCCCTGGGCCATCCCTCTCACTGTCTCTGTCTCTCTCCAGCGAGCTCTCATGCCCTATTGCAAAAACAAAACAAAACAAAATCACTTTTCTAAAGGGAAGAGGGCAGACGGTGGTGCTCAGAGAGAATGGAGGAGCAAGGCTGAAAGAGGAAGAGGAAAGATGTTTAAGAGAAAGAGGGGAAAGAAAAGGGTGAGCCGCCATGTAAGTTGCTAGAAAGAGACTTTAGAGAGGGATTAAATGAGGACTTAAAAAATGTTTTCCTTTTGGAATATGGGGTGTGAGATGTAACTCTCATCTTCTACCACTTCTGAGAAAGCTTCAATAAAAACTGGCATTACTGGGGCCAGCAGGTGACATGGTAGTTAAGGCACTGGACTCCCACATGGCCAACCGCAGTTCAAGTCCTGGACCTGGCAGCTGGCTTTCTCACTTTCCTCCTCTCTCTCTCTCTATCCCTTGTCAAATTAAAAACAATGATAATAATAATAAATTAATAATTATTTTTTAAAAACTTTCATTATTCATCAGGGCTTTGGGAGATGGGCTTGGGCTTTTTCTCAACTGTAACATGTGAGACTGGACCCCAGGGCAGAGCCAAAAGCACATTTTAAAAAGACTTATTTATTTATTTAATTCTATTTGTCATTATTATTTTTTAATTTGACCAGACAGAGACAGAGAGAGAGAAAGAGAGAACGCAGGCCACCAGATCCAGGTGCAGACCAGGGTTGGCCATGAGGGAGTCCAGTGCCCTTACCCACCACGTCACCTGCCTGGCCAAGAGAACATTTCTACATTACATGTGTTTTTACTGTATTCTATACGCTTTTTAAAATAGCTAAGAAGAGAGCCATGTTTCTAGGTCCCAGAGAGTTTAGTGCTATACTGACCAACCCAATAGCTCCTTGCCTAATCTGGCTAGTTAAGTTAAAATAAAAATTAAACAGGGGCCCGTTTACACTGCAGCCACTGAGTGCTATGCATAGGAAGCCAGATTCCACCTGACTAGCCTTGGTTCAAATCCTACTCTGGCAGCTTGAAAAACATACCAATTGTCTATGCATGCATGCCCATAGACTTGGTGGGACAGAGAAATGGAGGGAAAAGGACTGCAGCATGACTCCATCCAAGTGTGGGAAAGTGCTCTCATTCTCTTTCTCTGGCAAACATACGTGCACCCTAGCAATAAAAAATAGAGCGCCAGCAGATGGCATTGTGGTTGAGGCACTAGATCCACATGGCCAACTGCGTGGTTCAAGTCCCAGATTGGGCAGTTTGGAAAATGTTTTAGGCATGTGTGCATACATGCCCAAAATCCTGAGAGAAGAATGCAGGAGAAGGGACTGCAACAAGGACATCCTCCTGGGGGTGCTTTCTTTTTTTCTTTCTCTCTCTCTTACATGCGTGCACACATTCTATGGCAAAAATCTAAAAAATAGTAATAAAAATAAATAGAATTGTTGTAGTTTTTAAAAATAATAAATTTACATTAAATAAAACTTAAAACCAAGTTCCTCAAGCCAGCCCAAAGCATGGTGGCAACTATACAGTGCCGACTACACCGTGCATGCAGGACCCAACAGCTTGAGAAACATGTTGGACATTTGTGTTTGCCCCAAATCCCAAAAGGAAGAAGAAATGGAAGAGAAGGGACTGCAGAGTGATCATGTTCCACAGGGAGTGCTTTCTCACTTTTTCTCTGTCTCTCTCCAGTGAGTGCATGTCTTCTGGCAAAAAAAAAAAAAAATTTTTTTTAAAGGGGCAAGCAGGTATCAAGGTGGTTAAGGGCACTAGACTCCCACACGGTTGACTATGGCAGCTTGCTTTCTCACTTTCCCTCTCTTTCTGGTCAAATTAAAAAATACATAAAATTAAATAAGCTAATTCTTAAATTTTTTTTTTTTTTACATTGAGTTTCTTTGAAAAGCAGAAGGCATCACCAGACTCCCATGTAGCCAACCGCGGTTCAAGTCCCAGACCCAGCAGCTTATGCCGGGTGTAGACCCTGTTTGGCATGGTGGTTAAGGGCACTGGACATCCACATGGCCAACCATGGTTCGAGTCCCAGACCTGGCAGCTTGCTTTCTCACTTTTCCTCTCTCTCTCTCCTACTCTGTCCTTCTCTGGTCAAATTAAAATTAATTCATTAAAATAATTCTAAACAACAAAAACAAAAACTCACGTCAGGTACATGTGTGTGCGTGTGCCCAAAATCCCAAGAGGAGAATGGAGAAAGGACTGTAGTGTGGCTAACCCCACACTGGAGGTGATTGCTCATTTTCTGTATCTCTGTCTCTCCAGCAAGTGCATGTGCCCTATAGCAAAAATCTCTCAAAAAAAAAAAAAAAAATTGAGTTCAATCTCACCAGCACATCACAAGTGCTCAATAGTGACCTGTGGTCAGTGGCTACTACTTCAACAGCACAGGTGGTTTCCCTCAACTCAGGAAGTTAGTTATCAAAACCAAACCCTTTTCCATCTTTAAAGAGCTGCCACATTAAAAAAAGATGTGTTTCATATTGTTTCGAAGAATAGAACTAAGAGAAAAAAATGAGGAGATGGGCAAGACAGGTTTCAGCTGAACAATTTTCTAGTAATTAAACTAGGTAACAGTGGGACGGGCAGCCTCTATCTCAGGAAGAAGTAACCCGTTTCATTCAGTAAAGACAGTCCAGCAAAGGGTAGTCAGTCATCTTCCAGAAAGAAGTGAATTCCACTTAAGTCCTATTTTGTATAAAAGAAAAGAACTAGATGCCTTCTAAGTATCTAGTTTTAAGTCTATAATTTTAGGAAAAGAGCAATTTATAAATGAGATAAAATCAAGAGGTCAACGAGTGCCATTTTAACTGTCACTACTACCACAAGTAAATTATGGAACAAGAAGGAAAAATTAAAGTATTTTTAGTAGATAGGGAATTTAGTTGAAATTAATGGTGGTTAGCTGCCAAAGGATACTGCCTGTTAAGCTTCTAGCTTAGCTATAAATTTTCCCAGCCTTATCTTCAAACATATTTGGCTTGATTATAATTTCATACACTGAATATACTCTTCATATATGTTAGCTTATGGTTCTATGATCTGCGCATGTTAGTGCGTGTGCACATGCTTGTCTGTCTGTCCATGACATTCATGCCCAAACGTGTGACAGCATCTCTTCCTAAGCATTAGGAATCTGGCGTGGGGATTATGAAATTCAGTACACAATGCCTAGCACGACACCAAGCATAAATGGCCACACACTAAGCTTTTCGATAATGGCCATACCATGCTTCTGAATGCAGAAGTCAGGAGAAAAGACTGAAGTAGATGTGAATTTGAGAACGTTTTTCTTATAGGAAAAATAACAGAAGCATAGGCATCTTTTACTGCATCTAGAGAAAGAATGTTTAATCACAGATAAAGGTTCAGGCTTCAGTGAAAGCAAGTATAATGGAGTTTAGAGACAGTCTAGAATAAGAAGAGAGAGATGGAAGAGGAAGGAGGCAGATGAGGACCATGCAGAAGAAATCATCAAAGCCTAGTCTTTCAAAACTCTCAGGTCTTCCCAAAGAGAAAGAGGAAAAAGAGGATTTCAACAAGAGTGTTGAAGATGGAAATGAGCCAGAAAGGGCTATGGACTTAAAAAAAAAATCAGTGAGTGGTGGTGTATGTTGGCAAACAGAAGTGTGGAGTGGAGGGGAGGGACAGAATTTATAGTAGAGGAAGTTGGTGTGAAGTTTTCCTCTAAAGATGCCCAGCAGTGCAAAGAAGGAATGAAGGCAATACCACTGGGAATAAGGCAGGGCTGGGGCCGAAACAGCATGGCAGAAGCAACAGGGCCCAAAATAGGAAACTTTTTCCTTTTTTTTCGCTAACTGACCCAGATTTTCTTACTTGGGACCAAAGGCAACTGCAGAGTTTAAGGATCTTTAAAATAAATGGTAAAGATCCCAATTGCCTTTGACCCAAGCAAGATAACACAAATTATCAATAGAAGAATCAAGATAAAATTAGAAATTAGTGTCAGTTGCTAAGGTAAGTGCCAAATACATTCTTTTTCTTTTTTAGATTTTTTTTTTTTTTCTATAGGGCCCATATGCTTGCTGGAGAGAGATAGAGGAAAAGTGAGAAATCACTCCCACAGGAGGGGTGGCCACACCACACTCCCTTGTCCTATATTCTCCTCCTGAGATTTTGGGCACACATGCACATGTGCCTGGCATGATTCTCAAGCCGCCAGGTCCAGGACTGGAACCACGGTTGGCCGTGGGAATCCAGCACTTTAGCTACTATGCCACCTGCTGGCCCCGCCAAATACTGCACATTCTTAGGGCTGATTTTAGGAGACATCAGACTAGTAAACTGCTATGTTGTACTAATACTAGGGTAGGGCCAGCAGGTGGCATGGTGGTTAAGGCGCTGGACTTCCACATGGCTGACCCTGGTTTGAGATCCGGACCTCGTGGCTTGCTTTCTCACTTTCTCTCTCTCTGTGTCCCTCTCTGTTCAAATTACAAAGTAAATAAAGTTAAATAATTCTTGGGGGGGAAAAAAAAGCACCTACTTCACTTATTTAAAAAATACTATGGTAAATTAAACATCTTCAGGTTTCTCTTTGTCAATCACAAGGTAAGTGTAGAAACTTCATGGTTACAAATACATACACAGAAGATAGTAAGTAACCTCACATACTGGTAAATCTGAACTGCTTTCTTATACTGTAGCATTTGATTCAGGACACATAGGGCAGGTTAAACAGTTTGCAGAAAGTGAAGGCTAAGAATGAAGACCATGAAGTAAGTGCTATACTACTGATATGTAAAAGTTGAGGCACTAACAACACAGAGTTCAGTCGCGTCTGTGTGGGGGAAAAGGGCATGAAAACAAGGCAAAGACAAAGACTCAGTGCCATGTAACTAATCTTGATAGCCTCACTTAGGGTTTTAAAATTAAAAAGTGAATCAGGTTTTCCAACTTTTCTATTTTAATTTTTTTATTTTAAAAAAGTCAGAAAATCACTTAGATCCTTTGATAGATGTAGTCAAGCCATTTTAAATGAGTATTAAAAATTAGATCCGTGCTTAATTTTTGGCAAAGATTGGAAGGCAGACAGTAATGGTAGGCACAGACAACCTTGCTTTTAAGCCACCCTTTGCTCTTTCTGCTCAGAGATGGACGATGACTCCATTCTACCTTCTACCTGCGAGACCAAATCCAAATTCCTCAACCCATAATTCACAGCGGTTGATAACCTGGCCACAAGAAATCCCAAATCACCCCAGGTCCCGCTGTGCCCTAAAACTCACCTATCACCATCCACACAGGCCTCTGGACAGACCTTATCTCTGGGATCCGGCCACTGCCTCCTTCCACCTAGTCTCCCCTTTCCTTTCTGGGCCTCACCACCTCCCAACTGCCCGCTTCCCTCTGGAAGTTCTCCCAGGAGCTCTCTGCCCACCCGTCCATGCAGTCACAACCTTGGTGTTCCTTGTTTTGTGCTGCACGTGTGTGATGAAGACAGAAGTCCCCTCGGAAACCCTGACCTCCATAAACTGCTGGGTTCTTCCCTGACTCTCCGAGGCCCCCAAGGCTCCCCGCAGGCCGAACCCTCCTTTCCCTCCTACCCGGGCGGCCAGCGGCGGGGGTCGGCAGTGACTCACCGGAGGGCAGGCGGGCCGGGGGCCGGAATGCGCTCACTTCCTCGCCCCGCGCACCTGCCCGCGCCGCTGGAGCGCCGCCCAGCCGGGCCTCCGGCGGATGTTTTCCTAGTCCCCGCGCGGGCAGTAAGCGCCAGCCACCCCTTCCCGGCGCTGCACGCCAACGGCCGCGCCCCCTGCAACTGGCGCCCCAAACAGCCGCTCCCCAGGGCTCCGTGGGCTGGACCCCAACCACCGACACATATGCGCGCACTTACACTCCCAGGCACGCATACGGGTTCCTCCCACACGCCCCACCGCCCCAGCCTCGGGAGAGGAATCCTGGCTTTGCCCAATCCCTTTCCAGAAGACCCCCTACTGCAGCCTCTATAGGCCTACCTCCTGTCCAGCTCGCCTGCGCTCCTCCTGTCCCGTTACCTCAGGGACATCGGTCCCTCAGCTGGCCCCCATCACCTTCCAGCTCTGCCACCACCTGCAGGCTCTTTCGCACCCCACTCATACTCGCCCCCTATCGGGTTGGCTCCAGGCTGCAGGAGCAGAAGGTGGCCACTGGCCCAGGCAGCTGCAGAGGGCCTGGCCTCTGACAAGGTTTCTAGGCCTGGTGCCAGACAGGTATTCTGAGCCACCTACTCCAGAAGAGAGTAGCCCAAGCTCAGGGCTCCCATACACCAACCTCCCTGAGGGCCCCTGCTTCAACCGCCTGCTGGTCCCCACCCCACCTCGGCTAGTTTGAAATGGAAAGGGTATCAGACCTGGCTAGGTCAAAAGTGTGTCTGTCCTGCACCTCCATTCCATTCACGTAAGCTGCCTTCTTGGAAGAGGATGGCCAGGAATTTGAGGGGCTAACAAAGCCGTTTCTAAGTGGTGAAGAGGTGACAGGAAGGGTGATCCTCTGTAAGTCGGCCAGAAGTATTGTATCTGATGCAGTAGGTGACAGGAAGTAGATTTTGGAGTAAACAGGAATGGAGACTTAAAAATAGAATAAATGCCAAAATGCTGACCCGATGGGTAGGAGGGGAATAGCCAAAAGGTTTCTGAAATGTGGAGAAGGAAAAGAAATCCAGCTTGACCAGCGCCTTTAGTACTACAGAGATTCTAGCATAAAAGTGTCCGGAAACAACTTGAGAGTTCACATGAGTGGGATGGGAAGAAAGGAAACAGCAAGCTGATGAGAAAAAGTTGAAATCAGCTGAGGTGACAACACTCTCTACAGGGGACAGGTGAGGGGACTGATCTAGACAAAGCAGAATTTTCAGCAAGTTTCTCATACCAGACATTCGGAATTCAATACAAGAACCCAAACCAAGTGCTCCCGGAGTATCTGATTTCGAAAGAGGTGGTAGGAATGACACGGAGCGTGGGAATGAAGGGGGCAGATGGCTGTCAGGAGAGAGCAGCCTCCATCACAAGCCCTGGGCTGTGTACTCAGAGCTGCTCCATGTCATTCAAAGGCAAAATGTCACCCGTTTTGTCTGAGCTTAGCACCAATCGCAGTAGCTGATATTTTCTGACAGCCATATGCCAGAGACGGTGCTAAGAACATGACACACATCATCTCATTCTCATAACGCCACCGTGAGCTGGCATCACTATCCCCAATTTATAGATGAAGCAACAGGCTAGCGAGCTGAGGTCATTTGCGCAAGGTCACATAGCTAGCAAGTGAAGTCAGAACCTGTATGCAAGTGGTCTGTCTACAGCCCGTGCTCTTAATCACCCATCCTGGGGCTCTGCAGAGCCTGTGGGGAACTCAAGGTAGGATGTCAAAGGATACATTCCTAGAATCTCATTCCATCATATGTAGGATGAAAGGGAGCACTTCTGTGAAACAGGAATGATTCACACCATCAGGACATTTAGAGCTATCTTCTCTGTAAAGGGCAGAGAACCACCCCAGGTATATGGTGATCTTGAGCCTACTGTGTGTTTGTGGGCGATAAACAATGGACAGGGATAGTTCATTACTGGGAGGCCTGAGGGAGCCCCCCTCCCATCTCTAAGGGGCAGCCCTGCCCAGGGTAGGAGGGAAACATGTCCCCCGCTCCAGGTGCCTGCTTGCTCTCCTGGAGCCTCTGGCCGTCGCACCCTACTGCAGCTCCTCGGTTTGGCTGGGGCACAGGATTAGCCATCCCCAGGAAATGCCTCCCTCCGGTCCAGGCAGGGATCCCAGCATACACAACCCAGGTGGTGGTAGTGGGGGGAGGGGCACAGTGGAATGCTTCCTCCTCTCCAGGTCAGGGACCACCTGGGGGCCCTCACCCCCAACCAGCTCCTCGCTGGGGAAGTGCCCAGTCCAATGGTCCAACGCCCCTTCCACGGCCACCTCCCTCCCTCTAGCTGTGCCTGGGCATGAATCAGCTCTCACAGCTTGTTAAAGCTAGGCCTCTTGTTTTCATGCCCTCACCTCAGGAAACAGAGTTACAGCTTTTCCAGCTCTACTCAGCAGGGGGCCAGGGTCCTCACTTTATAAACATCTCCAGCCTGTGAGAACAGAGGGCATGGAGATGGTGTGAGACAGAGCCCAGGGGAGAGAGAGAGAAACTAAAACTCAAGGAGCAAAGCAAAGAGAAGCCAGGAGACAAGATCAGAGTAGCCTGAACAGAAGCCAGGAAGGGTCTGAGAGGGCTGTGCTGCAGCAATGGCCCTGGGCATGCTCTGGGCTGGACAGGCCAAGGGGACCCTGGGAGGCTGGGGGATCATCTGCTTTGTGACATCTCTGCTCCTCCAGTACCCAGGAGTCTACAGCAAATGCTACTTCCAAGCTCAAGGTAAAGCGGGCTGAGGCACAGGAGAGGATGAGGAGCAGTTGTTGGGAGGAGGGGGCTTAGAGAGGATCCTGTGTCAGAATACTCACTCCGGCTGCGAAACAAAAAAAGACCAAATGTGAGCCAGTGGCACTTTTTCTCTCCCACCCCAGGTCAGAAGAGACTGTCTGCCACTCCCACACCGACTAACATTTCCCATTCTTCTCCAGCCCCCTGTCACTATGAGGGGAAATACTTCACCCTGGGTGAGTCCTGGCTCCGCAAGGACTGTTTCCACTGCACCTGTCTGCATCCTGTCGGTGTGGGCTGCTGTGACACGTGAGTGACCAAAGACGGCCAGAGGGAATGACTGTGACTTGAGTGACTGAGGGATGGCCAGAGGAATTAGGTGGCTCTGATGTCAGAATGAACAGAAGAGTCGTACGAGACTTGCCAAACCTCAGGTACCAACAAGAATGTCAAAGATAAGGCTTCAGGCTACAAACTGGTGGAAGTTGGGTAGATCTGGAGAGAAAATACTCCTGCTATGAAAGAGGAAAGACCACATATGGTCGGTGAGAACTTAGGGAAACGAAAGGGACACTAAAGGAGGCTGTGAAAGGAAGGCATGAGAGAGGCATGTGTGCTGGGGCAAACGCGGCCCTCCACTCTGCTGACTTCTTCATAACCTGGTTCCCCAGGTCCCAGCATCCCATCGACTTCCCGGCCGGGTGTGAGGTACGTCGGGAGGCAGGAACCTGCCAGTTCTCCCTGGTGCAAAAATCTGATCCCCGGCTGCCCTGCAAAGGGAGAGGACCCGACCCAGAGTGGGGCTCAGCTAACACTCCAGTCCCTGGGACTCCAGCTCCCCACTCCAGCTAAACCCAACCGCTCACCTGTCTGCTGACTGCTCACTGCTGCTGCCACTTCCAGGGAAACCACTAGCAGCTACCGATTTATTCTGAATAAATAAATTAATGCTACAGCTGAAAGCCTGCCTCTCATTGTCCGTGCCATTGGGTCCCAGGTAGAAAAGGTGGGCCTGACTGGAGTCCAGGAGCGGAGTTCTCAGTATCCTGAAGAAACTAGTGCCAGGATGGGCGGATGGCCATTTCAGATGGTTATGGTGCTGGTGCTGGGGCCAGGGGCAGCATAGGAGACCAGGGTGGGGCTCGTAGGCAGCACCTTGATGGGGAGGTCCCAGCTGAAGGTGTCTACAGGCACTTGCTCAGGACCTGTCCAGGTGGCAGGTTCGGGCTGTTCCACAGGCGGGAGGAGTGCCAATCCTGCTTCTCGGGATGTTACAAACTCAAAATGCAGTCGCCACTTCAGGGATACTGTGGAAGAAGATAAAGGTGGAAGTACTGGAAGCCCACAGAAGTAAAAGTTAACAATAGGATACGGTTAGTGAATGAGGAAAAAACCTGCATTCATGAGGGAGAAGAACCACAGGGTAGGGACCTGCAAGATGTGCAGAGGATAGCAGTGCCAACCAGCTAACAACCCAAGAGTGGGACAGTCAGGAGTAGGGAGCTTGGGGCAGCAGGTGGCATGGTGGTTAAGGGCACTGGACTCCCACATGGCCAACTGTGGTTTGAGTCCCGGACCTGGCAGCTTGGTCTCTCACTTTCTTTATCTCTCTGTCCCTCTCTGGTCCAAATAAAAATTTTTTCTTAAATTAAAAAAAAGACTAGGGAGCTTGAAAGTATCCTGGGAAATCTGTAATTGGAGTACCCCAGGGTTCCAGCAGGAAGGGGTGGGAAAGGAGTGCTGCAAATGACTAAGAATCTAGGGGCCACATGCCAAGAAACAAGGGCAGCAGCTGAAGGCCTGAGAAAGCATTAAGGACCAGAGACAGACGTGGGTATGTCTGGAAGTGTGTGCAGAATCAGGACCCACTATGCTCTAAACACAGCCTTCTGCTGGTTCCTCCCCCTTCTCCAACAATGGTCAGGGTCTCACCAATGGCCGTGCAGAAGCCTGGGGTAGAGCTGAGAGGGATGGGGAGGGAGAAGCTGGTTCTGGTTGTATGCAGGCAGGACTCCTGGTGTCGGGCATGAGTCACGTGGGACACAGCAGGGACACCCCCTGCCCCTCGACGCCGCTGATACTCAGGCTGCACGCGCTCCTCAGTCTGTAAGCTCACTGAAAACTGGGAGCAAGAAGAGGGGTGTGTGCTAGCAGCACTGGGAAATGCTCACCATTAGGGGAGAGCCTAGCCCAGCCTCAAGCTGTCTTACCAAAGGGACCCAGGTAGCCCCAATGTCCACTTGTACAAGCCACCCTTCTCTATACAGGCCCTCTCCTTCCAGCACTCCCTTCTCACCTGCAAACAAGCCACGGTTCCATCTCCTAGGTTCAAGGTCCCCACCACATCCTCGCCAAGTCTGTACACAGATTTGAAGATGCCAAATGTCCCAACTTTCCCTCGGCCATCACTGATGTTGTATAGATCTGGGGAAAATGGAAACTGTAAGCCTGGAGTCTACACTGAGGATTACCAAAGACTGGGTACCAGAGGCCTAAAAAGGCTTTCCTTTCTAATCAGAAGTTGAGATATCAGTGGGTCCACAAATGTGTGCTATGGTTAGGAGACTGTCTCCGAGACAGGACCACTGTGTGGAGAGGGGTGGGAATAATTCTGAGAGGACTCTCACGGAGGGCCCCCCCCGGCCAGCTCGGTTAGCCATGAATCCTTCTTCCCACCTTCGTCCTCCTCTAGGAACGGACTGGATGGGGCTACAGCCTCATCCTGTGGAAACCGGACATCTTGGAGACCTAGAGAGAGAATAAACAGAGAGGCAATGCTAGGAGGGAACAGAGTCAAGAGCGGATGTTAGAGTTTAGACTAATCTGAGAGGGCTGAAAGCAAGGGAAGCCATAGCTCAATGACACAGCTCAGCCAATCCTCCAGAACCCCCCCACCCGCTGGCTTCCCTCTCTCCCCAACTTCCTAACAGGAAGCCTCTCTGCAGCCCCTCAAGCAAGCCCTCCAATACCATCTGCTTTGGCGAGGCTCTTCCCTAGCCCTTCCCTTCAGAAATCCCCTTCTTACCAGTCAGAACAAGAACCCTCAAAGGAACCCTGAGTAAAGTGATGGGCGAGTTGACTCGTTGGCAGCCAATGGTCAGTTTGTAGACGTACTTGACTGATTGACCCCGAAAGGAGGGAGGTCCCTCTATGGGCAGCACTTCACTGTAGGAGTCTGGTTGGGAAGTAGCAGTCAGAGCAGCTAGAGGCAGCCAGAGGATCCTCCCTCCAGGAGACTCGGAAGGCCGTTCAGGGATGGGGACAGTCACTCACATGATTTAGACTCTCCAGGGTCTAGCCTCAGGTCACAGAACAGAATTTTTGGTGGAGTAGAAAGGATACACTGACCCCTTTCACCTAAGGAAAGGTAAGAAGCACTGCGATTAACAACCCATAGCCCGGCAGTGCACGAGGCTAGTACAGCAAGTGGAGGCGGCTAAAGGCTGCCAATCCCTATCTGTCGTGAAAAGGGAGCAGTTTTCTATCTCCAAAGCAACAGTTACCTTCCCCGATCCCCACTGTGACAGACTATAAGCATCCACAGGAACAGTTTAACAGCCTCACTCTTGGGTGACAATGACCCCACCCTCTTCCCAAGGCAAATGCCCCATCTCTAACCTCGGTGTGGCAGAAAGACAGTCTGGCTGTCGGGCTGTACATCTGGCTGGCTAGAGTCAGGTGGAGGCAGAGCCACTCGGCTCTCACTGGCATGGAACTGGCAGTGGATTTGGGCACTGGCCCAAGCCAGAGCCTCACTGTGGGGAGAGACAAAGGAGGCATCAGAGAGTAGTCCCTGACCTCATTCAAATGCTTGCCCAAACTCCCTACCACTCCCTTGTCGGTCTAAGGTCAGGTGGCTGTCCTAGCATCAGGAAATCCAGAATGACAAAGAGAAACCATTAAACAAGGAGAAGTATACTGCGGTTAAAAAGGAGGATGGAGGAAAAGGCGGAAGGCAGTGGGGGACCACACCACCTGCACCTTCTGTTAAATGAGAGCACAGTGAGCAAGAAGGTGGTAGTGCAGCCACAGGGCAGCCTGGGCGCTGCCTCAGCACCAGACAGCTGGCTTCCTCCTGACCGGCCATTGCCTTCAGTACCGGCATCCCCACCTGGATGCAGAAGTGGCCGTGGGGGGCAGCGGGTTGGTGACAGTCACCACACACTCCAGAGCCTCCCCTGCCAGAAACACAGGACCCCGGCTCAGCTCTGCTACCACTTCAATCATGGCAGCTCCGGAATCAGTTCTAGAAGGAAACAAGGAGGGGTCGGAGGTCAGCACCACGTTAGGGAGCGGCTAGGACGAGTACACAGGGGTGGAGGACCCCAGGACGTGCGGCCAGCACCACGGTGCCGGAGGAACAACTGGACTTGGGGAGCGGGCAGGGGACAGGAAGGAGGGGGCGCTGCTGACTCAGTACAGCCTGAGCACAGGGCGTCGCTCTGGGCCCCAGACCCCCGCCCCACTCGGCGCCAGTTTATCGTCCCTACCCCCGAGCTCCCAGGTCGGCCTCCACCCTCTTCCCTTAAGGTTCCAAGCCCTAGCCCGAGACCTCGGTACCGGTCACCTGGCACGGTCACAGCTGGGGGTCTCGGCGCGACGACGCCCTCACCTGCCCGCCCCTCCCGGACTCAGCCAGGTGCGTGGCGGTGTCCCCAGCTTCCGAGAAGCGGCAGAGGCGGGACTTCCCTTCAGTTCCCCCCACCTCCCATGGAGCCCCTTCCGGCCGGAAGCGCCCGGCTGGCCGGACCGGAAGGGATTCCGGCGGGCTCGCGGC